GAGTTCCTCAGAGGTCAATCTCTGCCAGACTCTTGCTGCTTTCCCTTTTTGCACTCCAGCTTCTTCCCATGGGCACTCCGACAGTTCCTGGCTCTCTTCCCTCAGTTTTTCATTCAGAACATGTTCAATCACTAGTAACCTTAATCTTTTTTTCTGAGAAGAACTGGCTTCCAATGTCCCTAGTCAGCCTTCTTGAAAACAATCTTTTGTAATACTTAAAAAATATATTTAGGTGCTCCAATTTTGAGGGCATATGTATTTACAATTGTTATGTCTTGTTGACGAATTTACCCTCTTATCATTATATAATGCCCTTCTTTGTTTCTTTTTATAGTTTTTGACTTAAACTCTGTTTTGTGTGATATAAGTATAGCTATACCTGCTCTCCTTTGGTTGTATTTACATGGAATAGCTTTTTCCTTCCCATCACTTTTGGTCTATGTATGTTCTTAAAACTGAGGTTATTCTCTTGGAGGCAGCATACATTTAAGTCTTATAAAAATTCTTTTAGTCATTCTATGTATTGTTATTAGAGAATTTAATTCATTACGTTCAAGATAATAATTGATAGGTAAAGACTTACTATTGCCATGGTGTTAGTTGTTTTTTGATTGTTTTGTAGATATTTTCTTTCTTCCTCTCCTGTGTTTCTTTGTGGCCTTATGGTTTTCTGTAGTGGTATGCTTTGAATCTTTTCCATTTTTGTTTTGTGTTTACACTAAGGATTTTTACTTTGTGGTTACCATGAGGATTATGAAGAATATTTTATACTTATAGCATCCTATTTCAAGTTAATAAGAACTTAGCTTTGATTGCATGAAAACAAAAACAAATCAACAACAACAACAATCTCACTAGTTCTTGGTAACAAAAATGTTGACTGTTTCATTCATTGCTCTGTTCTGTGCACTTTGAAGAATGTCTGTAATGTAATTGGTGCTGAATAAGTATTTGTTTAATGATTGAATGGCTATACAATTGATGCGGCAAGGGATTGTGAATTACTCAGAAAGTAAAGCATGGTATTGTAGAATCAGGATTATTGCAGTAGGAAGGGAACTCGGATTGTTTAGTTGAATTCCCTTATTTTGAAGATGAAGAACTTAATTAGTTCCAGATTACATAGCTAGAGGTAGAGATAATTCTAACTTGTGGCTATCTGTGGACTTCATTCTAGTATTCTTTTTATACGTCATGCTGGGCTCTAGATTATTATTCTTGTTCCTGGTAGCATAATTTTATTGAGGGCTCTATAATTCAGCTAAAACTTCTCAATATAGATTTTCATTGAGCTGATAAGACTGAAATATATAATACATACATTTTCTTTAGATTGTCTCAGACATTATCTTGCTAATATTACCCATCTTTTTTTTCCTCGACTTTGGTATAATTTACTTTATCTAATGTCGATCACTTTTCCCCTTCTTGCTGTACTCTGCTGCCTTATCTATTATTGTAATTTCTTCTACTATTTTTAACTGTGATGACCCCTGAATCTTCACCTTAAATCTTCCTTCTGAGCTCTAGATTCACCTAATACACATTTGTGCTCAGGTGTCCACCACAGATCAATGATATTTTAAACTGTACTTCATCTTCTTCTGCCTTTCTTCACTGGAGTCCCCAGGCAAAGTGCCCCTCCCTCTAACAATACTGTTCTTCTTCCCGAATTTCATGCCCCACAGATGATGCCAATTAAGTCAGTTAAGTAGCTCTCTGGGAATCATTCTTGAATCTTTCCTCTTGCCCTTCTCTCATGTTGAATCTATTGCAAAATCTGCATCCTCCTTGCTTGCAGATCTCTCTCCAATTTATTCATTTCTTTTTATCCTATATACCATATGCCCTGAATTAGTTTCTCATATCTCTTTTTTTGATCATTGCAATAAATCTCTGATATACTTTCCTCTGGTTTTCCACAGTGTTGCCACACCTTTTGAAAAAGCAAATCTTGTTATGATTCTCCTCTGCTTAGAATTATTTAACAATTCTCTATTGCTTCCAAGAATAAAATCTTGATGTCTTAACATGACATAAAGTGCCCTTTATGATTTGACTCGTGCTAACCTTTCTAGGCCCACCTCCTTGCTCTTCCTATCCTCTCTTCTTTCCAGCAGTCTTGAAACCTGGAAATGTCTGGTTATTTCCTGCACTCACACTGTCTCTTGGCTTTTGCTTGACTGCTCTGCCCACTCTTTATTTTTGCAAGGAAAGTGCTATCTCTTTCAAAGAACCTCCATAATTTTCCTTTTGCTCCCCTAGACTGGGTTTGATGCTGCTCTTTGGTGTTCTCACTGTTTCTGTGTAGGCATCCCTAATAGCATCACTAAAGTGCACAGTCTTAATAAGTTACCTATTGAACTCATCCATTAAACTGTCAGATTACCTATTGAATTCTTCATTGAAGGCTAGACTGTGTCCATATCTCTTGTTCATTGAGCATTTAGGAGAATATTTGACATATGAGCGTTGGTTGTACAAAAGGCTAAATAAGACGTGTGCAGAGTAGCTTCTGCTTATTTATGCACTGTCACCCAGCATATTTGATGATAACGAGTGTTAAACTTGTCGTTCCACCACTGACATGTATTAACTTAGGCCTGGCCTCATTCACAGTGCTTTCCTGGTTTTAATTATAATTAATATAATCAAATCGTGGTTGCCATTTTTACAGCACTAAAATTTTATGTATACTTACAAAGATAGTTTAACATTTTTAACCCCTGCTAAAAAACACAATTTGTGAAATTATTATTACTACATTTCTACAAATGAAAGAACTGAGCAATGAAGAGAAACTGACCTATTCAAGCTCACACACATAGTAAGTCATGAACTGGGAATTTGAATCCAGTTTTTTTGAGTCTTTGTTAAGAGTCTTGCAAGCATCTCTATTTGACTCTACACACTTTATTTACTTTACTTACAACATATAAAAGGCATCTCTCTTTGCTTTATATACTCCTCAGTGGTCTAGAGAAAAACATTCTAGAGGAAACAATCCTGTACCACCTCAGAGTATTAGAGCAAAGAGAAACTGATAATACTATATGATAATGTTTTCATTTAAGAGATGGTGGGAGAAGGAAGAAGAAAAAAGATGAGAGAAGAAGGGAGAGTATATAAAGGGAAGTATTTTGAATCTTAAGGGATGCATTTGTTCAAACTGTAAACAGTTTAAATTGTAAATCCAAAATTGTTCTTAATGGAAACTCAGCAGTGTTTTTTTTTTTTTTTTTTTTTTTCCAATTTGGTTTTCTTAAGTTTCTTATTGTTTTACACAGAATGAAATACCCAGTCACTTAAAGATAGCTACTCTGGTGATATTTGAGAACACCAATGAATTGAGCACCAGAAAACACATAAGAAATCCTATTCTCATGACACTTTTTTTTTAGGACATATTTGCAGGCTCTAAGAATTATTCAAGCTTCACATCCATACAAATGCTCAAGCCTTTGATGTATTTTTAGTTATTCAATAGGTTAAATCAGCATTCTGTATTATTTCTTCATTTCTATTTTTGTTTATACCTGGTATTGCCACCTAGGACCTAATTTCTAGCTACAAGGCAGGGCAGAAGGCTTGCAGCCACTGCTACGATCAATGCTAATGTTACTCTTTAGCCTGCTAGAAATTGGACCTGGGTATTTCTCTGGAGTCCCAAATCCTCGGGTCATAACACTAACATCTCCCAGCACACAGCCCAATCTTGTTTAACCCCGCTTCTGGGCATTGTGCATTTTAAAATTTTTTCACTTTCCTGAACAGATCTCCAACTGACTTAATGCTGTGGGCATGGAGTTCTTTTTATTTTCATGTAAGAGAAAGTTTACTACAAGAAGCAAGCAATAAGTCAACAAGAATTGAATGTATGCACACACATTGAAATAAATGGTGCAGAGACTTTATCTTAATTTATTACAGATGCAAATGGATGATTACAAATTGATGCTATGGGCAATTGAGTTTCAAATATGTTTAGTAACTAAAGTGGAGGTGCAATTTTGTATTTCAAAGTTTTAAATTTTAATTACTGACAAGTCATCATTTTAGAGTAAAAATCAATTTAGGAAAAATCTTTGTAAGAACAGCTTCAGTGGTCTTCTTTGACATTGAAAAAGGTATCATTGGCTGTCATCTCTAACTGACTTTTAGGAACAGATTAGGTATTTGAATGTTGACTGTAATGATAAAAAGCAAATAGGTCTAACCCAAGTTCCAGCTGCCCTAGTTCATTTTCTGTTGCTATAAGTGAATATCAGAGACTGGGTAGTTTACAAAGAAGATAAGTAAGTTTATTTTTTACTGTTAAGGAGGCTGGAAAGTTTAAAAGCATGGCTCCAGCCTTTGGTGAGAGCCCTTTTGTTGAGTCATAACGTGACGATGGGCATCACATAGTGAGAGGACAAGAGTATGCTGGTTCAGCTCTCTGTTCCTCTTCTTATAAAGCTACCAGTCTCATAATGAAGGCTCCAGGCTGATGACCTTATCCAATCCTAAGTACCTCCTAAAGGTCCAACCTCCAAGCACCATCAACCTATAATCTGGAGATTAAGTTTCCAGCACATTAAATTTGGTGGACATATTTAAATCATAGCACTGGTGAATGAAGTCTTCTCACTGGCTTTTCCCACTGTTACCACCAGATTCATTTTTGTATTACCTAGCCTTTGCAATTCATTTACTTAACATTAAAAGGAATTGGACATCTTTCCCAAGGAGAAGTATGTCAATCTGGAAGACTGTTTGGACACATACTTCTAAGAACAACTGTTTTAAATATGTTATGCATGAAAATTTCCCAATTCTGGCTTCTATGTTTGTTAAAGATAGAAATCTTCAAGTGTCTGAGTTGTAATGTAATGCATGTCTTATCAATCAAATAGGCTCTGACCGAAGTACAGCCATTTTGAGGTTTGGAGCCCCTGAAGTTGAAATAGAGAAATAGTGTTGTCCAGTGATTGTAGGATGGAACTGCAAATTAACACTCCATATATGATTTACTTATTTAATAAGGACTATTTATAGGATGTTGTGGATCTCAGGGATTCATTTGCTCAGCATTTTCTCTGATAGGCTTTCCATCCACGACTTTACTCCCTTGATCACAACAGTAGATGGTTGCCCCAAGTAGAGACAAACAGAATCTTCCTCCCATAGGAATTAAGCCTTGAGAAAGAGAAGGAAGGATGGAAGGAGTAGGAGCTAAATCACTCGATGGCATCGTCTCCATGAGTTCCTGCTGCAGAAATTCTGGGAGATGTGCTGATACTTGTTCTTCTTGAAGCTAGAGAAAAAATTTCTCTCCCATTTAAAATTTTCTTGAGGTAACTGGGTCTGTTTCTTTTGCCTGAAAATGAAGAATTTGAACTGATTCGACCTATTCAATACCTTGAAAACTATTAAGGTATTTAATTTACACAGAGTTGTGAAATATTTTAATTTACATGAGATATTAACTTGCTGAAGGTTATTTCTATAGAGGGTAATTACTAATAGAATTGGTTCTAAACAAACTTGTAAAATAGGCTAAATTTTTCTCGAAGTTTTCAGTCTCTCCTTTCTGGACTTTCCTTCCCTTTTCCGTCTCCCTCAAAAATGTTTTATTTTATTTTTTTAAAGTCACTAAGTATAGAGTAAACTGACATCTCAAATTACCTAGGATAGTCCCAGCTTATGTCTGTTGTCCTGGTGTAATTACTAATGACACATTCCTTTACTCTCAAAAGTGTCTCAGTTTATGGCCACCCTATTAAATAATGTTTTTAATAGGCTTGGTAGATACTTTTATCATGGAGAAAAGTTGAGGTGATTAAATTATCAGGAAAGACTAAATTTTCCTGTAGTCTTAATTTTATTTTGAAAGCTGAGGTCTCCCTTGGTTGCCCAGGTTGGAGTGTAGTGGTATGATCATAGCTCACTGTAGCCCGCAGCTTCAAACTCCTGGGCTCAAGTGATCCTCCCTCCTTAGCCTCCCATGTAGCTAAGACTAACATCAAGCCTGGCTAATTTTTTTTGAATTTTTTTCCTTGTTTTGTAGCGACAGGGTCTCACTATGTTGCCCAGGCTAGTCTTGAACTCCTGGTTTCAAGTGATCCTTACAGGCATGGACCACCATGCCTAGCCAAATAAACAAACAAATAAATAAATAAATAAAATGAAATGAAATAAAAGAAAATGGCATGCTGTTTTGAATATACGGTTTCAGTTATACAATGTGAATAGCTTCTAGAGATTTTCTTTAAAATGTTGTGCCGATAGTTAACCATAGCATATTGTACACTTAAAAATTTAAGAGGTAGGCTGGGTGCAATGGTTCACACCTGTAATCCCCAGCTCTTTGGGAGGCCAAAGCAGATCACCTGAGGTCAGGAGTTTGAGACCAGCCTGGCAAACATGGTGAAACCCCGTCTCTACTAAAAATAAAACAAATTAGCTGGACATGGTGGCAGGTGCCTGTAATCTCAACTACTCAGAAGGCTGAGGCAGGACAATTGCTTGAATCCAGGAGGTGGAGGTTGCAGTGAGCTGAGATCATGCCACTGCACTCCAGCCTGGTCAACAAGGACAAAACTCTGTCTCAAAAAAAAAATTTTTTTAAGAAGTAGATATCATGTTTAGTGTTCTTACCACAATAAAAGATGCAGGAGGTCAGAGGTATTTACTTATTTACTTGCCCTAATGGTTTCTCCCACAACCTATGCTATTTTTTTTTATTTCAGTAGTCCCTCTAGGCTTTATTTATATTTCTAATCAGCCTAGATTGTTTATTGTCATATTATTTTTCACTTAAACTATTCTTGTATTGTACCCTATCTTATTAGCCCTTTAATCTTCTCTCACTTTTACCTACAGAAACACCAAAGCTAGAGAAAGCCAAACATTCCCTTCATCAAGTCCAAACATCTTGGCTATAGTGTACTACCAGCAAAAACACCATTTCACTACATGCAAATCACACAAAAATTAAGTCTCTATCACCAGGCTCTGCCAGTTGCTTCCTCTTATGTTTCAAAAAACTCCCTCTGTCATTCCCCTCCACAACCATTTCCAACTCTTACTTCTCTTTTTAACCCCTGACCTACCATTCCTTCCCCCACCTCTTGTCCCATTCTTGTAGATGATCTCATCTCCTTCCTCACAGAGAAGATGGAGACCATCAGGCATAAACTGTCTTTACATCACCTCACTCTAAAAGATCCACTCAATGTTGCTATTTCTGGATTCATCTGCAATACCCCTCCTTCCTATGCACTTCGGGAAAAAGGTAATTCCACTTTTGAGTTATATTCCTTTATTTGGGAACCTTGCTCTTTCTAGTATCCTTTCTTTCCTGTGTCTACCATCTTTCCCTTATTGTGACTTCTTCTCTTTAGCATACTTTTAAGTGTTAACACTCCCAGGTCTGCAAGTTTTAGCCATTCTATAAACTCAGTTCTCCAATGCCTGACAATGTCCCTCTCCTCCGCCACTTTTCTGATCTCTGAGTACATCATTCTGGTCTTCTCTTGTTCCTCCAAGAACCTTTTTCTCCCCCTGCTCTGCCTCAATCTGTGATGGGTACTGCTATTTGGTGTCCTCCCACTTTATAGGCATACATTTGCCTGTGTGGAAATTGTTTACTAGTGCGCCTTTCCCACTATGTGATGAACTTTTCGAGAACAACATCTATCATTCATCTCTATGTTGCCAATGGTCTACTTTAGAGTGCTGTTATTCGCCAATGTGATATAGCATCCATTTCATGAAATATTTCCTTACACATTCACTTCAGTGAGCTAAAATACATCATTATAAGACATGCCTGCAGAATATTTAGGATAACAAATATCTATCTCCGTTTACTCCAAGATGAGCCACCATCAAGGGGGGCTCTCTAAAATTATAGAACTGTTTTTAATAATGAATATAAGATTTTAGCAAAAGAGTAAGAATGTGGAACGGCAGAAAAGACAGATGGGTAAAGGTGAAGAGAAATGGTGACTACAGCCTTCAAGTAGAAGAGTAAAAACTAATAGTTATGTAGTGTTTCCCATGTACGCAGCCCTCCTTGTGTATTAACTTACTTAATCCTCATTATAACTCTAGGATGTAGACACCATTATTAACTGAATTTTACAAATAAAAAGATCAAGGCTTAGGTTGATAAGTGACATGCCCAAAGTCACATAGTTAGTAGCGAAGTTGGGATTTGATTCCAGGCAGACCAACTTCAAAGTCCTCACTTTTAACAATCTCTGCTCTCAGCCCGTAACCCACACAGGACAATTGCAGGGCAATGAAACTGTATGGTCCAATAAGTAATTCAATTATTGAAATAGCTAAAAACAGAATTAATGTGAGCCCCTTTTGTTACTGAAATCTGTGAAGAGTATCTTCATCTCATGGTAAGTTGGTCTTATTTCCTTTGTTTGAATTTTTTTGGTGCTAGCTTCAGTTATAAACATGCCAATATTTTTACAGGGTTCAATAATAGTTTTTTAAGAAATGTGACTTCAAAAACATAGAAGGTCTAGTTATCCAACCATCAAATTGTTAAGTATTAATAAAAAAGCAAAAAAAGTTTTCTTTAAGACAGTGTTTCCATTTAAAATAGTTGGAGCTGCTGTCCTTTAAAAAGCACACGTATTTTCTAATCTGCCAAGTAAATCTACTTGTTTCCACTCTGCTTTAGTGGTTTTTCTGTATTAAATGTGCACAAATAGAAGAAACCACAGCACCTCCAAAATGCTGCTGCTTAATTCTCCTTTGTGATTCTCTGTATTGAAGATGTCTACCTAAACAGATTTCATGAGCTTTGTGAAAGTTTGGCTTCAAAGAGTGACACTTGAATTTTTAATCACCTTACTCAGGAACAATGTTTTCTTGGTATGCCTTCCATTTCTCTTTTATGTAGAAAAATTATATGCATTTTTACTAAGTCATCAATTTCCACTTGAAATTCTATCCTCAGTTCCATGCATGCATGCCTTTATAAAAGTGGGATAAGTTTTTTTGTGCTTCAGGGACTGTTCAGTGAAAGCAGCCTCCAGCAGAGCTTTGTCCATATCCGACAAATGCCTGCTGTCAGATTTTCCCTTCTCCTCGGTTTGACATGATGGAATCCCTTACAAACATGTCGATTTAGACCAGCATGCTGCATACTAAATTATGAAAACAGTATTCACATTTAGCATCAAAAAAGTGGACTCATAATGTGGTATTGTTCTGAAGTGAAACCTTGGTGATGAAATGAGAAAACAAGTCTATCCACCAATTATCTCAATATTTTGAAGGCCATGGCATAGGGTGGATGTTTGACTCTTGCTGTGGGATGGCAGGTTTGCTATGATTTATGTAGATCTAACTATATGATTTTGGTTTTGATGACAGATGTTGCAGGAATAATATTCAGCTTTGTGATGTTTTGTAATATCCTTGGGGTAAGAATGAATCTGTGTAGAATTGAATAATATGGTAGTTGTATTTGTTAATTGAAGTTGCTATGCTTTGTACTTTATTTCAGAGCATCATGCCTGAGCAGACATAGAAAATAGCAATTACTTTTAGCAAATGTGAGATTGGCCTGCAGGATTCCTGGCATGTGGTGAGCCTCTAGACATACAGGGAAGAGAAAGAATGGGGATGCAGGCTGGGGTTTCACTGGTGGGATGTACTTGTCATTTCTGGAAATCAATAATGTCTTACATGTGCTTTGTTCCCATCCTTTACGCACAATATGCTGGCTTTAAATATACTGGAGTTAAGTAAAGTGGATGTGTCTGTGACAATTGTAAGATGCATAATCATTCTCTCATTTTTCTGTGATTCAACAATTTAGCCATTTCAAATCTTTTGGATAACATACTGAAGATTCCAACTTTTTGTTTCACATTGAGACTGGAAATAAAGAAAAAAATTTGTTTCAGCATATACCCAGTGGAAGGGGCCTTAATGACACACAACAGAGACGGCACATGGGGAGTGAGTACTCAGGAACAAGCATCCAGACACTTGAAATGACCACACTGTGCTTCTTAAAATTAGTAATGCAAAGTGAATTTAACAAGATCTTCTTTCTCCAAACTGTTTTGTATGTCACTTGAAGGTTGATCTCTTAAATATATTTTAATCATGTCATTGTACTAATAAAACAATGTAAATAGCCTTCTGTTGCCTATAGGATTTTGGGCACGTGTCACACTGATATTCAAGGTCTTTCTCAAACAGGTTGAGTGAATCTGATTCTTTAGGTAGCCTCTCCAGGTCTAAGCTTTCAAGTTTCTACTAAAAAGCATCTGTAATTTTGTGCCTAGTCAATTGGAAAACTTTCTAAACGCTATTCCTTACCCATTGTCAGTAACAATTGAT